TACCCACGTGGCCAAGATAATGGAGAAGGCACCTCTAGCTAATAAACAGCTGTAAATCCAATCCAGCCTGTTTGTGTTGAGAGCTCTAGGAAGAGTCAATTTGTTTTCAATTTATTTCTCAACTTTCACTATCACCAGGTCTTGTGATCCCCCTTTCCAGTCCTTGGTCTCACAGGAAGCTGAGGAATTTGCACCTTGGTGAAGAAACCTTGTTGTGAGCATTTTGTAAATGTAGCAACGTGTTATTCTGAAGCTGTGTCACAGGGGGTTGAAACGGTACATAATAATCACATAGTTTATGTATTGGATAACTCTGATTCTCAGTGTTAAGGTATAAAAATAAGATGTAACTTCACATCTCCGGAGCTGTTTTTGTTAGCTGTGGTGACTCATTGGCCTCTGTAGTGACTAAGTTTTGTATAATACTAAACCGGCTCTGGTAGGCAGACAGCTGCTGGTGTCACAAGCCTGAATGCTGAACTACCCTGTTGGTTTGAGGACTTTTTCTTCTTCAGTGGAAGCAACAACCAAGAGAGATAACGAGCTTTTTGTTATTTGCCTGTTTACTAGTTACATAGCAACAAGCAACGTGAAGTGAGAGGTGTTGCATAAATCTTGCACCTCCAACCTTAAATACACAGTACGCTGAGCGCTCAGGACTGGGAGTATTTTGTTCCTTTTAAGATAGTGAAATTATTAGATTAATGAATTAAAACAAAAACAGCAGGTTTATTTGAAACTACGAAACATGCATGTGCTGGTTTTCAGGGACCCTTGCATTTGAAAAGCTTCAAAATGCATGCAGCTGCAACACTTTTTTGGACCAGTAAGAACATTTGACTGACAGTATGAGATGCCCAGTTCAAACATACAACACATTTAAGTGTTCAAAATAAATGAAATGTTGGCCCATTCCTTCTTAGTCTGTGCCACACTCTCCATAAAAAGATGGATAAATGTAGATCACAATAGAGACATTGAAATGTTTATAATAGCTAAACATTGACCAGTAATGCAATACTCATTCAAGCCAGTAGGGGGCTTTCAGAATTTAGCAAAAAAAAAAACAAAAAAAAAACAAACAAAAAAAAAATCCAGATCTCAATGATGCTATTTGACTGAGCAAGTGTGTTTTCTCTTTTTTTGCCATATAATTTATTAATTGTGCATGTTTGGTTATCAGATCATCCAAAAATTTTAATGTTACACCGTGAGGTGTTTTCTTGTAAAAATATTTATGCATCTAGAGATTTAATCATTGTTAAAGATCAGTTTTAAAGTGACACAATACAGATGTCTTTGCTAAAAGTTTACTCAAATTACATTCTGGTATAAAGTTTGAACTTTGACCCTCCTCCCACACAGGAAGTGAAAACGGTCCCCTGACCACAGCACTCGTATCGAGAAAAGTGGACAAACAGATCAGACTGTAAACAAGTGTGTGATCGAAGCAGCCAACACAAAGTTGAGCAGATGATTTTTAAAAAATTTTTTTGTGAACTGACTGCTGTACAGAAACTGCATTTTAATCTGAAAAAGCAAATGAAACATTGCATATTGTTTGTAGATTTGCTTATATTGTGCAATTCATAATATACTGTATAATAATCAGAGCAAGATCAATGTGCCATGGTAACATCTGGGAAAATGACAGAGAGTCATTCCAAGCTTAGGTAAATAAACCAACTCCTCTTCTATCTCATAATAGATCAATCACACACTTGCCTTTTTATATTCTACAGATCTGCATAGGAAATGTTTCCCATAACATTTTAAGCAATTAAAGTGTGGCTTTGTGGTAGTGAGTAACACTTAAAGACAAGGTCAACATAATAATGTTAACTGTGACTGAACCTTTCTGTCTAATATAATAAAGAGTCTAATTTACTGATTGCTATTAATAAGAATTTTGAAAGAAGGAGCTGCGGAATAGGAAATAATTATTTTTCTGTTATATTGAGTAATATACCGTTTTAAAAATTACAAGAAAAATTCTGAACATGTCTTCACTTTAATTTTTCTGTTTAACTTTTCATGTAAAATCCCCTAAGTCATTACAGGAAGTACCAATACAGAGATGAAAAAATGATAAACTTTTTTTTTTTTAGTTTGTCAGTAGAAATGAATAGAACTCAAAATAAATTATATTTATTAGACTGGCAGAAAAAAAAACTAGCATACTAACAGAAAACTGGTATTGACCTGGTATTGTTAACTTACTTTAATAAAACTGCCTCACAATGAAGAATCAAACACCATGAAGTTTCCTATTAGTCACTTTAAGTTATAAACAGATTATAAAATCCAACAAGTTCAACGAGCAGATATTCATAAATGTAATTATCAGAAAGGCAACTTCAACATCCCCCCTGGCAATTTATCCATCAAGCAGAGTACCCATGTGTTTATAGTCATTTCGCCTCCAGATATTTTGACTTGTCATAACTGAAAAAGCACAGGTGTGACCAATACTATTAACTTGAACTATATTAAATTTCATCGTCACAATAATTAAGACAACTAGCAAGTTGGAGCAAGTAAATGGAAGGCAGCCGGAGGGTTCTTACAAGTCAAGTGAAGGTAGTTTGTGACTCTGTAAACTGTCTAATGGCAAAGGCCAGCACAGCAAATCAACTTTTGTGTTTTATTGTTGTCAACTCCTTATTCTACCTGTTTTTAGTAGCTATTTTTTTAGCCTCTTAGGGGCAGCAGAAACAAGTTGTGCACACAATACTGGCATATCATCACCTTTTTCGATATGGCAGAATTGTTAGCAAACAATTGCTACAGCTTTTACAAAGTAATATATTCAGTAATTTGGAGATGTGCACTGAAGCAGATAAACGAGGAGCTGAAACTTGCTATAAAGTACCTGTAGATTCAGATGATAATTCTCTGTACATTCATCACCACAAACAACCCATTTTATATTGTCATCTAATAAACTGTCATAAATATTGATTAGAGGCACTTTAACATTGAAACTAAAGGTTGCACTACAACCTAGTTAATGTCACTATAATGGCTAAAGTTAACCCAGCAAACAGCGAACATTCGTATAGTTTCCAACAGAGATTCATATCCTGAATACATCAGGGCCAACATGGTTCAAAACCAAGTGGATGGCAGCCATCTTTAATGGTGGTAATGTTGTCACCTGATTGTCAAACACCAGCCTGCCCACGTCTATTAGCTTTACTCCAGACCATGACCTACAGGAATCTATTTCCACCTGCTTAAAGTTATTCATCAGTTTGAACAAGCGAGTACAGCAACTTGTTTCAAGAAAACAGTTTTGTAATGTCAGTTTTTATTTTCACACTGTCCAGATGCAGTAGATATAGTCCAGACTGTCTCTACAGGAGATCATGTTAATACTGAGGGGATGTGTTTTATATTTAGATATGAATGCAATGAAAAAAGACTCATTATTGTGCAATCTTAGCTCTGTCATCAAAGAGTTAGCAAACCTCAGACAGTAAAGACCAGGGCAGTGCAGGTAATTATGTTGCGTTGTTAAGAAATGTCAAATGGTATTTACTTAATTAACCCCGCCTGTGAGTTTGTTTGCTTGTGTTACAGCATGTGCAGTAGCTATGCGTGTGAACCTTCCATTTAACAGGAAATACAAGCATTGCTGTGATTAGACAGAAGTCAGTTATATCATGGCACCCTGCAGACAGTGCAGCAGAATTTCAATGACTCCCTACATTTCACAGTGTGTGGCTGTAATGGTGATGCTTTGACAACACGGAACTTAAGTGGTTGAGCTCAATTCAGTGGGATGTCTTTAATGTCCACATAACTGATGTATTTAGACATGGCTGGTTAAATGATTAAAATTGCCTGGTCTTTGATTTGCATGTGTTTTCTTTGTGATGATAAAAGCAAACAACACTGAAAATCGAAGAAAATAGAAAGTCTTTTCTGGATAAATATTTTTTAACACACTTTATGTGGGGGAACTTCAGTTGTCATTTGCTGCCTTGCCAAGAGTCAAATGACAAGACCACTCTCATGTTTGTTAAATTTGAACAGCTGCGAGATAGTTAGCTTAGCATAAAGACTGAAAACAGGGGGAAACTGCTAGCATAGTTCTGTACAAAGGTAAGAAATTCTGTCTTTATCTGTACCAAAGGGAAAGTGTAAAAGCTCACTGACAGACTGAGGCAATTTGTTTCTGTTTCCAGTTTTTATGCAAAACTAAGCTAACCAGCTTCAGGACTATATTTAATGTGTGATAGAACTAATGAAAATGATGTGAATTTTCTAAAACTATTCATTCAGAAGATGTGGATTTTTACCTGGCTGGGAGAACATTGTGAAAATATAAAATTTGCTGTATGTTTTGTTTTGTTTTTTGTTTTTTTGGCATGCCACTCATACTATAGTCCAAAACTGTCACCAACTGTGCAAAGACCATCTCTCTATGGGCCTCAAATGCCCCAGGTTCAGTGTTTGCCACTTTTTTATACTAATCTGATTCATTGCAGTTTTGTTTGGCAGTATTCACCAGTAAAGCACACTAATATGATAAAGTCTATTAGGTGTTTTACCTGCATTATTACCTAATCTTAATCCCTATGTTATGTCACAATTTGGGTTAAAGACCTTCATTCATTTATCGAAATGCTAAATGGATGTTTAAACAAATAGCCACACAGCAAACCCTGGGGCTAGTGTTGTAGTACTCAAGTCCAAGACTTCACTCCTGATTTTCAAGACTCGTGACTCGACTTAGACTTGAGGACTAATGATTTGGACCCAAACATTGAGTGCATTTGGACTTGTAAGTTGGAGATGGGGTATCTGACTTTATTATTGTTATTATTATTTTAATTTTTAGTAGGCCATAATAATTTAGCATAAGATACTGATTATAAACTCTGTTTGCCCACATCATGCTGTAAAAAAAAAAAAAAAAAAAAATCACACTTCACTTATAAGTAGTGTGTCTGCACACTTTTTAAAACTGTTTTTAGTCTACTGAAATATAGTTAAGTGAGAGACAGGGAGAGACAATTTTAGCTGTTTGCAGCTGTGATGTCATCTCAAGTCCCATACATATGCTGAGCTGTATCCAGCCCAGACAGAAGCAGACCGAGAAGAAAACACACCGGCCTGGGGAGAGGATATGATGCACACACTGCTTATATGTGAAGACAGGACAACCGTCACACTGCACAATTCAGGTAAGAGCCAAAAACAGAACATATAATGTGTTAGGGGATAGAATTATATGCACACACATGCAGCTGCAGCATTTGTCCACTTCACATTACCAAAACAGTGGCATGTTTCCTGCACTGCGTGTGTCTGAGCATGAAGCACACACACAGCTTTGACACTGTTATAGATCACTGATACGAAGGTGACATCAAAGCTGGGACACTTGGATGCTCTGCAAGATGCATTTCATGAGACACCAGATGTATTGATGAATAATTAAATATCCCATAGCTGTAGTTGTACAGACCATTGAATATTAAATCAGCAGATGACAATACAGTGAAAGTCTCGGACAGAAGGGGAGTGTGAGGCTGGCTGTAAGAGGGTTGTCCCTGCTCTGTCTATTCACTTGGACAGGATGGGTGTGGCTCTCTCCCTCCTCACCATTATAGTCATTTTCACTCTGTGCAAGATGAAGGTCAGATAACAGATTTATGAGGGCATGTTCAGACCTTTATTAATTAAATGAAATAATTACCATTTAAGCATGTATATAGCTGTGCTAATATGAAGACGGGCTCTCCTAAAGAGATTCCCTTGTGGCTTGGTGTTGACTAACTGTACAGAGCATACAGTATCCACAGCAGTTCATCACATGAAAGCATTAATGTAATGTTATTAGATAGAATGCTTCATGTGGATGGGACTTCTGTTTAATGCTGCAGCTGTTAGAACACACTGGATACGGTCTGGTTTATACATACATTTTTAATATTCCAGATTATGAACACTTGAGTGGTTCCCTCATTTTACCTCAGAGTAGCACTGGTTACCCTTCTTCTGTGCTCACAGCACTCCTGTGGATATCTAATTATTTTGGCAGAAACAAATTGGATGTGTATTAGGAGTCATACATCAGTAACAACTGATTCAGAATGCTGCTGCTGACTAGAGCCAGAAAAAGAGAACACACTGCAGGTATTTTAAAACCACTATTGAGTTGTTGTGTTGTTTTTAGAACTATTTGTCTTTAAAGCACTTCATGGTGTGGCAGCAACGTATTTGTCTGACATGCTTGGAATTTATGAACCAGGGTGACCCCTCAGGCTCCGTGTTCTAAAGAAAAGATCAAGATGTTGATATTTGTCAACTGCCTGATATTTAAAATTTTACCCAGCTTTCAGTTAGAATATTTATGGTAATATTTTTTTTTATCATTTATTTTAATGAAAACGGGTTTTATTGTCTCTAATCTGTTTTTTTTTCATCTTTTATGTTTTATTTTTTCTATCATATGTTCATCTTTTTATTTGTGTGCATTAGCCTCAAATTGTTATGTCTGTCTTATCATTAGCTTGTCAGTCTTAAATGCACTAACCTGAGTGAAAGCTGCCATACAAATGACTTTTGATTGGCTGATACAAGGAGAGAACATTTTATTCTGATCGCTACATTAATCTGACACTAACTAACATCTATCTATTTCTTTCCACAGACATTTACTGATCTGAAAGGAGGATAACTAGCATGACACAGGAAATTTGTCAAAGCAGTGTGAACCAGAATAAACAGGCCCTGCGGTGATCCTGCACCCAGCTCAAGCTGAATCAAAGTGCTGCAGCATCGTCATAGGAGCGAGTCACCAGATGAGTTGTCTCCTGGACTGAGAGAATATTTGCTGGAAAGACTGTAGCTCACTGATTCAGTTCCTCTGTCTATGAATTCTCAAATATTTACATGCCATGTCTAGCAGCTCTGAGGGATGAAGAACAGCTTGAGACAGACTGGTTAGGACTCTATGACCTTTTAATGTAGGGTCACTCCTACAGGCAGAGCTGGATGTGAAACTGCTGCTGGTTGAAAACAGGAGAGAACTACACTCTTTGTTTTGTGGTACTTGGCGCTGCACTTCCCTTTCTCCTCTCATTTTGTTTTTCCACTTCCACCCTTTTACAGAAAAAAAAGGATAAACATAATCCAGAGAAGCAGTTACTCACGGGCATTCACATGAGCTCAGACTGCATTTTACACTCCAGAGTCAAACTGTAAAACTCTGAGACTTCTCTTTCTAAACAAACATGAACATATTATTTTATTTAATTAAAATGTTAAATATACTTAACCACTCCACATATATTTTGCAATAAATATTCTGTAGTTGTAATAGGAAGAATAAAATGAGTCATTAAAGAGGCTCAGTACATGTCAGTATGTTGTCATTTACCTGAACATTTACTTAAATGTACATCCATATTATGTAGATATAGCTGACAAATCTATGAAACATACGTGATCATAATTGATATATACTATGTAATTTAGCAAATGTCCTCCACATTATAAACGTACTTGATTACTAAATGTCTGTCAAAACATAAGCTCTTAGTATAAGTACATTTTTGTGTCGCATAAGTCATAGATGTATTGTGCGAGCGTGTAGAGTAACTGTGCACATCTGTATGATCTGTCTCCTGACCAGTTTGCACACACCATGGGCTGTGCTATGTGTTCCCAGCTGGTCGATATGTGGACTGTGAGAGTGAGCAGGACCGGCCGCAGGGCCATGGAGCTTGCTGCCTACCCACAGATGCTCCAGGGAGGCTACCACAGAGTGACTGGCCTCCACTACATGTCCTCTTTCTCTGATGCGGAGGACTGCTGTGATGACACCAGCTCAGGCAGCTCTCTCACCTTGGACTGGCAAACACAGGCGACTGATGGCTGACACTGAACCAAACCAGCAGGTGTTATAATACAAACATGTAAATGAATATGATGAAATACACATGAACTGTGCAATAAATGTGATTATTGGCATTTAAAAGGATGAGGTGCAGTCTGTTGTCTTTTAACAAAGCAGGCTACTGCAGGGAGTTTCCATGAGTCTTATTACAAATTTTATTACCGGTATTTTATTATACAGTATACTGGTTCAGGGAATATACAGTATATTGTATATATACAATATACTGTATATTTATATGTAGCCTATGTGGTATTTTTCATCTCTTTTTAGTAGTTTTGTGTCTCTTTGTATATTATATATATATATAGTAACTAAAGTTAATGTACCGCATTACCAACTGCTTAAACATTAATGCAGCAGTTCTCCTCAGGGTGGTGGAGGGGGTCGAGGCTAAGTCAGGGGTGGGGGTGGGAAGGAGCTCAAAAATATTTATACCCACCAGAGGGAGGCCCCAGTAGAAAAAGTTTGAGAATCATGCATTTAAGTATTAGTAATTGTAAAACAATAATATATAACAATTTACCTGAATAATAAAGACCATTCTGTAAAACTTGTACTACTGATACTTTAGTTACTTGATAAGACTTCTGTACTTTTACATTATGGTATTTGTACTTCTGATCTTAGGAATTTGACTACTACTCTGCACTTTATATACTATTATATACTTTAAAAAGGTAAAATGTCCTTTAAAAATGTTGTTATAATATCACACATTATATTACTACATTTTTATTACTGGTGCAGCAGAAGTATTGTCACTGGGTAATTAAATACTGTTAGGCAGCTGAATCTTTACATTACATTTTATCAACAATTATGCATTTTGTGTTTAAAATCTTTTCAGATTTCTAGTTGTTCCATCCTTCAGATAAATGTAGTGGAGTATAAGTACAACATGTCCCTGTATAAATAGTGGAGCATAAAAGTAACATTAAATAAAAACACTCAAGTAAAGTACAAGTACATGTAGAGTAGTTGAGTACATTACTCCATGTACTACATTACACCTTCACTGTCAGCAAAATGTTTTCACAATAGTGTATTACTATTATGACTGTGCTGTTACGCAACTTAGTAGCAGATGACACAAGCAGGATCCAGATTGCAATGGAAATGTTCTTTGTTTTGCAACTGCTCCACAACCCATATTTTGCCAGCGGTCTTAAGTGAAATTATTGTCCTAATACAAGATGCAGAAGAAAGACGCCCTGGCTCCGGAAGTCAAATAAACGTGACTCAGATCATATGTGTTCATTTTTTGAAAGCTGCCTTACTTACAGTAGATCTCATTAATATGACAAAAGGTATAGAAAACATTTCTAAACTGATCCTAATATGGTAGTAGTTATGTATTAAGTATTAAGTTAAATAACTTATTCAGTTCTGTAAATGAATGCCAAAACAACTTTAAATATTGTAATATGAAATAATAGCTTCTATTTGCAGTGTTGTAGTACTCGAATCCAGGACTTTGACTCAAACACTGGGGACTCGACTACAACACTGTCTATTTGTTATGTTATGAGATTATGAGAAAATAGGCCCCTGGACATAGACCCCAGACATTTTGAGTGTTTTAAGTTGTCTTGTGTCACTTTGTTGTCATATTGCATCTCCTTGTGGTATGTCATGTCTCTTCTTAATCATTTTATGACTCTTTATAATAGTAATGTGTTTCTTTTAAGTGGTTTTCCATGTATTTGTGGTTGTTTCATGTGTTTAAAAGTTGTGTCTCTTTGTGGTGGTTGTGTGCCTATTTTTTAGTAGTTTTGCATCTCTTTAGTTGTTTTTGTGTTTTGTATGCAAATCAGATTCCAGGTAGGGGTGACACCCCAGTCACCTTCTGTCCCCACCCTTGTAGATTTTCCAGTTTGTTTTAAAGATTTATAATTTGCTTTAGTGAAAACGTATGATGTTTTTGAAATGTTACCCAAGGGGCATTTGGTTGTATAATGAGTAGCTTACTTTTACTTTTGATACTGTTAATATGTTTTGTTGCTAATAGCCTTAAGTTTTTTACTTAAATAGAATTTTTAACAGCATTTCTACAGTGTGGTATTTTTTATTAAGCCTAAGTCATCTGATATTAGTGTTCATGTAACTTTTTGGTCGTGCCAAGTTATTTCACCCTGGGAATCACAGAAAAACGAAAGACGCATTTCCATCTCTTCCGTTCAACTTGGCATCATCACCGGGGCGAGTGGGTGGAGGCATCACCCAGTACAAAAAAGCCTTCCCCTCGGGTCCACTCTCACTTTCAGCAGCTTGACGCACGCGCGCACACACTCCAGAGCTCTGGTCTGCAACTCGCCTCAGACAGACTAACTGGCACGGCAATGGCATTCATGATAGGAAACGAGGTTTTCTCCTGTTTTGCTTTCTACAGCGTGCTTCTGGTGATAAAAATGTACATTTTGGCGATAATAACGGGACAAGTGCGTCTGCGCAAAAAGGTGAGTCCATGATTTGGAAAGTGTTGAAAACTCATACTGCTTCTTAAATCATGGAGGGGGGATTTTTACTGAAAGTTTTGTTTTGTTCCCTGAAAGGCATTTGCCAACCCCGAGGACGCGCTGAGACACGGAGGTCTACAATATCACAGGGAAGACCCAGACGTGGAAAGATGCCGGAGGTGAGAATACGAAGGTTTGACACTGTCACGACACGCTTTTACGTTTTAAATTGATTTTGTAGTGCTTTCAAATATGTTGCTTTATGCAAAGGCAGACTACAACCATAAGAAAATACCAGCAGTTATTATCTTACAGCATTATCCACTTTAGCTGTTGCCTCCAGAGGTGGTGGAAACGTCTGTGACTTGGTTCTGTGCCAAATATTAAAAGTATGAAATATGAAAACTTTTTTCCAGTGAAGATTTTCCAAATTAGATGCGTTTTCCTCTACTGGTTTTCAACAACAGCTGGCAGCCTGGAGCAGTTGTGCTTTTGGCTTTGATTTAACATGTCAGAAAATGATATGTGACGGCAGTAAGGAAAGATGTTTTTTGGTTTTAGTTTTTGACTAGTAAAAACATTTGCTTCTGTTTTTCCTCTCTGTCTATTCTGCTACCCTGGACTGCCTATCAAGTTATGCTAGAAAACAATGGTGCATTGGGAGGCATTTACAAATACTGATTCGTGATTAAGTATTTATGTTTATGAATTTCCTCAACATAAAGTGTTGAAATAGTTTTCAAGCGTAATTACTACTTTTGTACTGTGCTCTTATCTGGAGCAGCTGTTAACAAGGCAGGGTCCCTATACAATAATAGGCTAATAACAAAAAGCTGGACCCAGTGGGTGGAGAGGAAGTAGATAAAGTAATCTGGCTGGGCTGAGAAAGTTTCACATTTCTGCTGTTGTATGAATCATGTGAAATGAGCAGGTTTTACCCAGATTGCAATTAACTAATGCGTCACCTCTCAGTGAGGTGACTCATTAACACTCCACAGTGTTAGTTAAACAAGATCGTTTCACCATCCAGACAATCGACCGACTTGCAGAGGAAACCATAAAATAATCCAAAATTGGAATGAATTACTGAAATAACAGTCATACTTTATATGTCATCATTTCACTGCATCGTATGTAGCTGAGCCAACTTGAGAGGCTATGAAAACAGATGTGTGTGTCTGCAGTCACATATGCAGTATACACATGTAGCTATGTGTGACTGAATCTTTTGTCTCCTATAGAGCTCATATTAATGACATGGAGAACATCCTTCCCTTCTTCTTCCTGGGTACCGTCTACTCCATGACTGGACCTTCACTGACAGTGGCCCGCCTTCACTTTCTTGTCTTCTTCATGGGTCGTGTGCTACACAGCATTGCCTACTTGCTTGCCCTGCGAGCACCAACTCGCTCACTGGCCTACATCATTGCACAGATAGCTTGTTTCTCCATGGCTCTGCAGGTTCTCGTGACAGTTGCAGCATATGCATAAACATCCAGAAATGAGGGACTGAAGTAGAGGTGGTGTTCTGTGTCGTAAGGCGGTAGTTACAATTTGTGACCTGTGTCTGAAAAAGCCAAGGAGGTTGCCTGAGAGAGAACTTAAGAGACAAGGATGTCAGTGAGAGTGCAATATAGCCTCCTGCACAGTGTTTGAGAACACTAGTGCTGGGTTTTATGAGATTTTGTCAGTATTTTATTGTTTTATTTACAAATATGAGAATATCTTGAAATTGAACTGAAGACATTATTTTGTACTGTACTTTTGTATTTAAAATGAAAATGAAGGTTGTTACTCATTTTGTTTTTTTAACCTGTCCTGAAACTCTCTCTCAGACTGTTACATAGATTTATTTTAAGCCACTTTGGAATATTTTACACCACTACACTACATGCTAATCCCTGCCCCTTTTGGTGTTTACACACATGACAGACTGCCATTCATGTGCGTATTGTATCTGTTTCCTGTGTGGATATTCCATCTGTTGTGTTAATATTTGCTTGCATGCTACATTCAACAAAAGCATAATGGATCCTGGCATGATCATTGACGATGCGTTGAAAGATTTGAATTAGCACCCGGTGGAATGCAAACTGATGTGCTTATTACTATGTGGGTGAAAATGTCTTTCAAGTCCTTTATAAGGAAGAAGAAAGGACACTGAGTTTGGACTCTTGCAACAACCTGCAGAGAAAGAAATGAAATGTGGAAATTTTGTAAAACATTTCAAGCATGTTTAAAGTATTGTAATGATAATTTATTATTCCATATAATGTACAAAGAGATGTTTTAACTCCATGAACACATATTTGTTGGAATTAAAACAATTCACAACCACGCTAAACTAATCTTGAATTCAGAAATATATTATTTTATTTAACTGTCTTTTAACTAAAAGGTCATTGTTGACTTTGGCCATGCAGGGACAGTGTGTTCTGGCATTAAGGGGAAAGGGGCCCCACTTTGTGTGTGAGAGCGAGGTGATCCAGAAGTTTGTGGCAAAGCTCCAGCATTCCTCCACACATTATGTAAGACCTTTTGGGCTGTGTTTTGCTGCCTGTTGTATCCTGAGGGGCCAGACATTTCTGGGAAGCCACATAAAGGCCCTGAAATACAGGAGAATGCTCAGTGATGCATTTAACATGATTACAGTTCTTGAAATCTGCATATCAATCATCTCATATTGCCTGAAGTGTTATGAGTGAAATAATGTTTTCCATCTTTATGGCTCAGTTGTTCCTTTTGCTCATGTGTGATTTGCTCCAAACTAATATATTCCAGCTTTCAGAACATACTTTCCTAGTAATCCTGTTTGGACTAATTTTCCTATCAGTGGCTGAACTTGAAATTACAGAGCCAGAATGTTTTGTGATTGTGGAGAAAGGAAAAGAACCCTAGGAAGTGGGAGGCCTGAAAAATAATTTGCTTTGAAAGAATGAACCTTGATGTGGGTGAAACACAAGCTAATGACATGTCTTGGATGGGGGCGTAACTGTGGCCTGTGTATGCATCAGAAGTGTGTTCGTCTCAACCTGCCTGCACCTTCAGGGTAACAGGGAGACACATGCCACACATTCTCTTTCATCTTAACACGAAACACACATCTTAGCTGACACACAAAAATCTGAAACCACAAGATGGTAAAAAATTTTGAATAATATTTGTGCCCACAGGTATTTTGTTACAGCACCTGATATTTTTTGTACAAACTGTGTACTAAATTAAATTACTCATTAAAATGTTTATTTCACAAAAAATAATGACTATTTACATATTAGTTATTCTGTACCTTTCGATTAAATAATGATTTAGTGAAAAGTCGTTTAACAGGGTAGGAAACCCGGATACTATATTTTACCAAGTCTTTGAACTCGGAATTTCATTGGCTAACCAGCTTGTCAATCATTCTATCAAAACCCGTGATTGGCCAGGGCTACATTGAGAAGATTTTTGGCTGTATCTCGTCGAGTTAGTTGGCTGATTGATATGATATTGATTGTCGTGCTAACTGTCCAATGGGAGCTCTAAAAATGTAACTTAGGCGTTTGTTCAAGTGTAAAGCCTAGCAAAACACTACAATGTCCCTGGGTTAGTGTCATATGGTTAGCCCAGCAGGTGGCGGTAATGCACCTTAGATTGGCTTGCCAACCTCCAATAAACACCACAGGAAGAAGATGAAGTGTCATATGGTTGTTAACAGTGAACCAGAGTATCAGTGACCTAACAAACAAAGAAATAACAAAGGCCACTGGAAGAAATTGCAAACACGGGCTATTTTCTCCATGTCAGCATTTTTGTTGGACTAATGCTTGGGTCTATGATCACTGGGATAATGACACACCTTGAATACAAACAACCGAGAATGGTAAGGGGCTGTTCTTGTGTGTGTGTGTGTGTGTGTGTGTGTGTGTGTGTGTGTGTGTGCGTGTGTGTTACTGCTGCATAATGAAGAACTGCTGAAAGACTTCGTAGCGAAAATTGAGAGACGTAGAGCTTAACAGTGTATAGCACGTTGTAGTTGTGTTAAGATGACAGTAGGTGTCAGTGATTGCTGGAAAAGTGATTGGGGTCCACGGGAGCGCGCAGCCTTCTAAATATGCATCGGGATCAAACTGTAATAAAGCGCAGAAATAGTCAGGATGTGTATCCCCATGGTAGCACGAAGGCATGTCTTTGCAAAGCTTGAACCTCTGAAGAAATTGCAAGGATCTAATCACAATTATAGCCAGAAGAAGCCGTAGCAGAGTTAAATCTGGCATTCTTCAGGCGTACTTGCTGGATATTTGGATAGTCATTCAAGTAGTTAAATTAGTTTTTGACCATTTTTATGTGGTTATAAAGGTAACCTAATGTGAGGCAGAAAATCACTTGCAGTATAAAGATAGTGACTTTAATCTTTTTGGAAAGAAGAATACTAAATTCTACTGGTTTCATAGTAAGTAGTACTTAAACTAGTGCAAAAGGTGCTGGATGATTGATAATCTTTAAAATCCTACCCACAATGTAAAGGTAATCTGAGCAAAATATATAGATAAAAACACCTTCATTATAAAGATATTCACTTTAATTCACTTTAGACATGGTTAAAATATTTTGCTTCTGAAACTTGCAGGGTATATACATACAGTATAATTGAGTAAAACACTGCAGCAGAAACAAATCGACATCCTGACAATGGCAGTTGTATGTGGAGTTAAAAACAAAAAACACAACAGATCTGTGTGTGCGTTATCAGGTAACACACACACAGGTTCTGAAGGCCCTGAAACAGGTGAATCCTCATAAGTCTGTGGGACCAGACGGTGTCTCCTCTAGAGTTCTGAAAACCTGCAGGGACCAACTAGCTACTGTGTATGCAGACATCTTCAACCTGTCTTTAACCCAAGCAGTAGTCCCTTGCACTCTAAACAACTTCAGGCCGGTGGTGCTCACATCAGTCGCCATGAAGTGCTTAGAGAAACTGGTCCTCACACACATTAACCACATGGTCCCGGACACTGTAGACCCCCTCCAGTTTGCCTATCGCCCCAATAGAGGCCTGCAAGTAACATGATTGGGCTTTTCTTTGTATCACTGACCATTAAACAAGTTGACCTTGGACTGAATTTGCTGGGACGCCCACTCCTAGGAAGACTGACACCTGTCTTGAAGGCTCTCCATTTGTAAACAGTCTTTATTACCGCAGAACAGTGGATTTCAGATAGTTTGGAGATGGCCTTATAACCTTTCTCAAACTGATGAGCAGTGACATTTGCTTCCCTGAGGTCATGGCTGATGTCCTTTTTTTCTTGGCATGATGCAGACACACCTCAATATTCCAGAACACCAAACTGCCAAAAGTTCTACTTTTCTAGAGGTAGTCACACTCCTTAATGATTGACAAATCCTGTGTGCACTTGATTAGTAACGTCTGGCTGCTGATTACTCTCTAATAAATGTAAATTAGGATTGCACTCAATGACGAGAAATCAGTTTATTCTGCAAGAAGACAGTGTTTGGCCACCCGGCCTTCATCAATGTCATCGAGTGTGATCCTAATTTACATTTTTTGGATAATGCTGCTGGGACAACGAACCAGTTTTTCCTGAATGTGGTGGAATCTGTACATAAAGGTTTTGCTGGTTATTGTCTTAATGGCTGTGGAAATATGAAGGATGAACTTTGAATGTTGGGAAACAGTGACTGCATATTAAAATGTTTTTTGTTGGCACCTGAGGTTTTTATTTTGTTTTGTTTATAGAGGTTGGTGAGGATCACACAATTATATTTTTAGGACCTGATAAATAATATTAAATTGAAGGAGGGTGTACTTTTATTTTTTACCATGACTGTATGTAAGACTATAAAAAAATAAATCAGATTTCATAAATATTTATTACATATCAATGAACAGAATCAACTATCTTCACAGCAGTGGTCTACAGCACTTATTTAATTGCTCAAATAATAATAATAATAATATAGTTCAGTTTCATTTTAGGCCACATTTGATACACAAACATTTACAAGTTAGTACTTGGCATTAAAAACAATGGCAATACAATATTTTAAGACACTTGGTGTTTTGTTTTTTTTTGTAAATTTTCTTTTGTTTTGATATCACAGAGATTCAGCAACAGTCTAAACAGTAAATATAGATTCAAATACAAAAAAAAAGAAAAAACAGTGACTATGCCAAGGGGAGGTAGAAACAAAAAGTACTCGACAGAAATAAAGGAGAAATAGGAACCACTTAACTGGGAGAAGCGTCAATCCCCCAGTCAGTCACACTCATTCATTTAGTCGTCTGAGTTGTGTTACAGTGTTGGAACGGGTCACACTGAGTCAGGCAGGAGGAGAACGGAGCAAAGACGTAAGGGGAGGAAGCTCATGCAAGATCTGAAGGCTGCTGTGTTGTGAAACCACCACACAGAGGCGCTCTCATGCCGACAGCATGGTCAGAACCAGTGCTCCCAATCTGGTGCCTTTCTGATCCTTAGAGATTTCTCCTTTGGCTTCACTGACTGTATAGTGTTCATTGGTCATAACCTTTGCCCCGTTTGTTTGATTTTGCATTCACCCAAAGTCACAGCACTTATTTAACTTCTCAGTGCACATGCAAAAAAGTATATTATTCATTTGAAAAGGACAAATTTATATACTTCTAGAATCTGTGCCTCTGTCTGGGCCACTGCTGGCTCATCAGAAACTAAATTCAAGGCTGAAAAGTCTTAATGTCTGCCTCTGCTGCTCTCTGATTTGAACTGTTTCTTCAGAGTCCTCCAACTTTATGAAAGTAGGGTAGTAGAGTTTAAAGTAGGATTAGGTTAAAATTTAAATAATAGCCTAACAAAGGCCAGGGTGTCAGGGACACACTGGAACAAGCAGGAATAAAATAGTTCAGGCAAAAAGTTGTCATTTCTAGACGGGTTTTGAATGACGGATGATGAGTTCATGTTTGGCAGTTACTGTTAATAACCGCTGTCAGGCCCTTTTTGTACAGAGAGATCAAACTGCCGACGTGTTGACCCTTGTCACCATGGCTTTTTTGATTTACACTAAACTCAAAAAGGCCAGCAAACTGTGGTCATTTTACACAGCTGCTGGAATCCTGGCCTCTTGTGGCAGCATTTTGGAGGGTCAACACTGACCCCCATGCTGGTACTGTACTTTTTTTAGAGTGGCAAAGGGGAAAACTAGCACAAAACTCCTGCATTGCATGGGCAGTATAAAAGGGGCTAAGGTCAAAAATCTGTAAGTTTAGTTAAGAATGTGGCTGGTAATTGATCAGTAAATTTAACCAAGTGCCCGTGGTGGCTTTCCAGATGCATACAACAGTTTGTCAACAGGTCCATGGTTGTAAAACAGGGATAAAGGAAAAGTGGAGTACCACTGTTGTTCAGTGAATTGGCCCAGAATTCATAGCTGCAACCCAGCAGGTGTCCCGGCTGTAAATCAGTGTTTTACTGGCCATCTGAAATAAAAACAGCAGGGCTTATGGTCCCAGTGCTGAATCCCTAAAAGGGTTTTTTGTTTTATATTACCCACAGGTAGGCTATATGTTCAGTTTAGTTATGTGATTTATTTTTAATTGTACACTTTTTAGTTTATGTTCCTTTTAACACACTTCTTTTTTCGTTTCAGGTTGTCATTTACCTTATGCTGATGTGTTTGGGTATGACACTGCGGGCCTTGTGATTCCCAAAGCAGCTACTTTTTGGTGCAGAATGCTTGCAGAAAAGGTGAGTAATGCAGATTTAAGGTCTGCTCATTCTCATGGAACAAAATGTGTAGTGCAGGTGGCTTAGAGTGCCTGCAGTACACGTTTTGGAGGGAGTTGTGGGTCACCATAGTAATCTAATGTGGACTACAGTCATGGCTGCTACTGTCAGACATCAGATTATGGTCATGGATAGCCAAATAGGCCAAAAGAGTGAGGTTTTCATATTCGGCCATGCATTGTTTGCATGTTGGTGACACTGTCTACGTGTTGTCTAACGAGTGTAAATTTGGTGTTAACACAAAGTGCATGTTAACAACATGTAACAAACACGTTGATAATACATTAAAAGTTGATCGTGGCTCGTTTCCCACCGGCTGTGGACAAGTCAGGTTAAACCAGTTCTGCAAACTGAAGGGGCGCCCCACTGCTACTTAACAAGAAGTCTTTCCATAGTCATCTTTAGGAAGATTAACTGTTTATGTAGGTGGTTTTTTCAGTTAAGATATTATACATACAGAAAATGCATCAACCTCCCCACAAATATATAGTTTAAAAGAAAAGCTTTTGTTCCTGCATCCGGTACAATTCACTTAGTTTCATTTGTGACCCACTGACAGGTGCAGGCGGGGAAGATGATCTGGTATAGTGTATTTCTGGTCTGGTTGTTATGTCCCCACTTTTGTAGGGTTATCTAAGGAGACTGAATCTTCACACTAATTATTTTTAAAGTGAAGATTACATCTACAGCCCCTCAAACGTATTCAGCCTTATTAAATTCCCTCTGTAATATGTATTACTTAGATTAATTAATAGATTATGCTAAAAATATTTTAAATTGATGTGAATTGTAGACATACAGTATGTCATTATACTAAACCTTATCTCAAACATCTATACTGAATTGTATACTAAACCTTATCTCAAACATCTATGTAGCAGGTTTATATTAGACCTAGGACAGGGTGACCTATACTGGCAGTGAATTGTACCAGACAGCAAAATAGCTACATTTATGTGTGTGTGTTTTTCTTTTATATTTATTATGGGGTTTGTTTTTATTGTGAGTAGGAAAAACAGCAGCTGCAAACAACAACATACAGTTAAATAATGTTCCTAAAGATGACAGATGCATAACAGAAGCTGTTCCTGTTAAGTAATGTTGGGACACCCGGGTTTAACCTGACCTGTCCACAGCCAGTGATCAACCTTTAATGTGTTGTTTACATGTTGTAACTTGTACCTGACTCATTAACGTATTAAATTTTCATACGTTAATGTGTAGACAATGCACAAACAATGCAATTGCAGGTGTAACTTTGCACATTTTGGCCTTTTTGGCTTTCCTGTTCAGTGGAAATGATAGAAAATGGCACTTGTGGGAGACTTTGCCTCCAGCCCTGTTTACCTGTGTACTGTGAATAAGGACCAATATGTGCAGAGAGCATTAAACATAGTTTTACTAAATGTGGGAATAAAATTGATTTTATATGTCTATAAATATGCATCACAGGTGTGACAGACATCCATGACTGTCAGTGTGGATGCATTCTCATATATAAACAGATGTACACATTCATATTATACACCATTTGAAAGTGGACTGGAAATAATCACATAATATACAGCACACATTAAGCTCTAGCAGTTTAAGGGGGAATTGTGAACACAGGTTTAGGTCATGCCTCGGTGTGTAGATTTACATTCAAGTTGTGGTTTGGGACCAAACCGTTATCTCGAAGCTGTTACAGAACTCTCACACTGCTTCATTGCCTCTTGGGGTTATTTTCTGTGGGGCAACACAAACGTCCAATGCACAGTGGCTGAGGGGCTGCTCGCGAAAACACACACAGAAACATCTTCCAACTCCCACTGCACCCATTTTTTTTCAAAGAATGGGGAGACCCAAGATACAGAGGTATAAACAAACAAACAGCAATTTAAAAGCAAACCAACCAAAATATTAAAATAGTGGTGACAGCACAGGAGTGGGTGGGCAGAGAAGTGCATGATGGGATTGTCTTCACTTTAGGTCCAGGACATCATCTTCGAAGGATGTGGAGAGGGAGAACCCGCTAGCGAGAGGCAGGCTCTCCTCTTGCAGCACCACCTTCTCTGGCTCGACCTCGGAACTGGGCGAACAGTGCAGCTGGACGTCCAGGTCTGCTTCGGTGGACTCGGAGACTAACCTGGTGTGCACAGAAAGGTATGCCTCAAGCTCCAATAGCATTATGCCACTGTTAAATGTTTTGTTGTTGCTACTGAATTGCTCGCCGTCACCTGTCGCTGTTTGTTGACGTCAGTGCTCGTGCTTTGGGCTCTTCCTCAGTGTTCTTCTTGCTCATCTTCCTCTGTTTGACTGCTCCACTATCTGACTTCCCACTGGATTCCTCCGTCAAGCCTTCATTGGTAAGGTAAGAGAAAATGGACATGGCATAAAGGAATAATTAGATCAATACTGTTTTGACATTTGTGCATTCAGTGTGAAGATACAAACAGGTGGTTAGTTTAGCTTAAGTGGAAACGGAGAGAAACAGCTAGCCTGGCTGTTTGAAGGGAACAAACTGCTGTCAGCACCTCTGAAGCTCACTCTTTATAATGCATTTCATGTGTTTTTCTGTTTCAAAAAAAGTGCAACTATCTTCCCTAGAGTCCCCTTTGCTTTTCATTCAAGAAATAGTGCAGAATATGACATGTTACTTAGTGTTTTTTATAGGTGTTAGCAAGTGGAATTTGTTGCCCTTGGCTGGACCAGGTCAGCTGTTTCCTGCCCGTTTTCAGTAGTGATGTGCAGATTGATCCTGAAATAGATACTTCCGATCCCACTGTCCTGTTCTAAGATTTTTTTTCCCCATGTTAAAAGATCAGAAATACGTATTATATTGAAAATCAGTAGGCTAATTTGGGGTAAATGTATATTGTATCTTCAATGGGGGGCACAGTAGAAAGTAACTACACTATCACCAGAACAGTCAAAAGAATACCCAGTTGATAGGAACTACAAGTCCTTCTGCATATGCAAACAATGGCTCTGTAATTGCCTGAGCCACTGAAAATCTGAATTAGAAAAAGTCTGGAGTCTCATAGCAACAGGGTGGATTTCATATGCAGTTGCCGATACGAGGGACATAAACAACAACCAAGATGGTGTGTAAAGGGGCCCTGTATATACTGTATGTAGTATGGAGTAGTGCCACCTCCAACAGTTCAGTATGTGGACTGCAGAAACGTCCCTTCATAGTCTAAGAAATGTTTCCACCGTGACCAGGGTGGCACTATTAATATGGTTGTTAATAAAAGCTGCAACTTAGCCCTTATATATTCATCTTATATCTCCTCTTCTCAACACTCTCTGTGGTCTGGACCTATCTCTTTTCTTTCCCTTTTTTTTTTTTGCACAAAGCATCAGTATCGCTGTTGGAATCAGCTATACCAGCCCGGATTTTACTTGGTATCAGATTGGAAAGGAAATAAGTGGTATTGCACATCACTAGTTTTCAGTCTTTATGCTGAGCTAACTTGCTGCAGGCTCTAAGTTCTTATTTATCTCATTTATATACCCGAGTTACCTTCTCCTCTTTCAGCAAGAAAATCAATAGGCATATTTGTACAACTATCAACACTAATTAATCAGTTAAAACAACTGAAATTATTAGTTGTATAACAGTTTTTCTGCTTACCGAGCAGCTCCTTCCGTGTGCGGCTCGCTATCTCTTTGATTTCCATTCGGGACAAGGAAAGGGAGTGCGTGGCGGAGATGAGAGGAGTTGTGGGCACTGCGGCGGAGGCCGGTGTCGTCAGCACCTTGTTGACCAAAGGGGACTTGAGAGGTCTTTCAATGCTGCGCCCCACCAAGTTACACAGAGGGATCTTGAAGATGTGCTTACATGCTGCTTCACCTGGGAGGAAGGAACCCAGAGGAAGAGGAGGATGGAGAAAGGTAAAGTCAGGAAAGTAAAGAAGGGAAAACACCGATGAGGGATGACATGACAGAAGCGATAGAATAGAATGACAGAAAAGGGACATAAAGGGAAATAAATGTGTGGCAGTTCATGAAGAATATATGGTCTGAGGCACATTTTAGCTGCAAAAAATGCACAAATGCATTTAAAGCAAACCATCTTTTTAGGCTTTCCATGTAGCCACTAAACATTTTGTCATAGCCAATTTATTCAGTTTTTCTCAGCTCTCCATTGCTGATCATTGGTAATGGAGTTGCAAACCGTGTCTATTTTTCACATCAGAAGAATCGTTTGACACTGTGAGCAGTTTGCTTATTTGCTTTAGTGCTGAAAATTAGACGAGAGGATTGACACCACTCGTGTGTATGCTAAATATGAAGCCACAGCCAGCAGGTGGTTAGCTTAGCTTAGCACAATAGCTGGAAACAGGAGTACGTTGGGCTAATTTAATGAGCATGTTATATTTTATATGTACAAAAACCAAAATGTAAAGACATCAATTTGTCTAATTGTTCTCTACAGAAGCTCCCTCTTCTACCCTCACCAGTCACTTTAATAGTCACACTGGTACAATTGTATGCAATTCAATACAACACTTCCACCTTAACATCTGTGTTTATGAAGTTTAAAATGTTTCAGATTTTGGTGAAATTGTACATAAATTAAGTACATAAATTCAATAATAAGTTTATTTTTGGGGTCATAGTTAAAGGTGGTGTTGTACTGGACTATGTGATTTTCAGAGGTGTCTATATTTTTGCCCTCCCCAGCTACATACATGAGAGGGTCAGAATATTAGAAACCCCTCTGAATATCATATAGTCCACTACAACACCACCTTTAACTATGACCCCAAAAATAAACATGTAATTAAATTTATACATTTAATGACAATTTCACCAAAAAGTGAAACATTTTGAGCTTCATAAACACAGATGTTAAGACAAAAGTGTTGCACTGACGTACATACAGTCGTACAGGTGTGACTATTACAGTGGCCGGTCAGTGTATATTAGCATTAGCTACATTCGAGTTACAGATGTAAACCTCTGTTTCTCTGAAAGATAAATACACAGCGATGTTTCTGTTCTGAAGCTATTTCTAGATTAGTCAAGACAAAGACATTAACTGTCTGGATGAAATATAATATTCTGTCAACTGCACAAGGAAAAGATTTTAAACATCTCAAATTGTAACTCCACTGTAACACAACTCCTAATTCAAACAAAGATGTTTATTATTGTGTAGACTAAAGAATGGATATTTTTTTCATCCAGATGTTTGAAATAGTATTTTATGATTGTATCATTAAACTACCCTCTTGGATTTTCAGACACTGGAGCTAACAAGAAACATAAGCTGGGGCTCATCATTTCCCCCTGCTTCCAGTCTTTATGCTAAGCTGTCTGTTCACTGCCTTCATAACTTTATATTTATGGCACAGACACAAGTTTGGTACCAATCTTCTTATTTGATCCCTGGCAAGAACACAAAGAAATATATTTCCTGAAATACTGAACTATTGCTTTGAAACTGTCCTGGTAGTGTATTCAAGTACTTGCTAACATTCAGCTCATTAAAGCATTGGTTTAATGTCCACTACTGTTTGAAAATCCAACAGCACAAAGCGAATGCTGTAGATGTAGATTGAATGCACCAGTACAGGAAGTTTTCAAAACAGACACTGCACCAGCATAAGCTCATAAAGCTTTTAAAAAGCAAGAAAACAAGGTTAAAGTGTCTAAGTCAATTTCCAAAGCAGATTATAATTGATAACCAACAGCTGCCTAGAATATATGAAATGAATCTAAAACCTTGTTATTTTGCGTCTGCTGCTGATGAGCCAAAACAGTGGAATCAAATCTCCCTTTTCAAACAAAGACACTAAAGTGACTAATACTCCTGTTTACTGAAACAGCATGTGATCTTAAAATTAATCATCCTTACTCTACAGAGCTAATGTAATAACTTAAGTTGCAGACCATCTATTATTCAGCACAGACTATAAACATTTAAAGTCCGTTTGGGGCATATATAGATGTTTGGAGTTTTTCAAATGGCACAATTTGCCTGCAGAGCCGCAGTGTGCCAACCTGCACTGCCAAATTGTGACATCAGAGAGCAGTATTGCAGTTCAGCAGCCACATACTGCTCCACTGAGGTAGGCCGGTAGTAACATAGATGAGACTGAATCAGTGTGGAGGCTACCCTGCACAAAGAGGAACCATCTCATTTGAAATGTCAGCGGGTGAGAAGTGAATCAAAAGCCATGGAGAAAAATGGAGGTTCACACTGTGTTAGTGTTGTTAAACATCCTCTCTCCTGTACCTGCGTTGTCACACAGCAAAAATGGCAATAAAACCAAAACACAGGAAAGCATGCAGTTATTTGGAATATATAATCACAGAGATAAATATATTCCATATGCACTTCTGGACCAGGGGAAGTCTCACACTTCATCACACAACAAATGACCTAGACAATCAGGAGTGTTTTCAGTACTAATTGAAGCTGAATTCTCCTGAACAGAAAGCTGCTTTGCTGTAGGTCTTTGCCAGCGAGCAGCCACATCAGTAACAGCTTTTGTTCACATTACTGATGCAATTACATCAGACGAACCCCTCCCCAAGGAGCAGATGCAACAGGCGCACAGGCGGTTAGGGGATGGGATTTTTGTCAGCACACCTTTGACCTCTCTCTCCCTTTTTCAGCCCCCACCAACCCTCCCTCTGCTATGCAGTCTCAGATTGTGGCACCACTGTTTGGACTAGCACTTTAGATCGAAGAGAGAGCTGACAAAAGTCTCCATGGCGACAGTGCAAATCTGTAAATCATGCTGCAGCAGACGTGTCTTCTCCTTCCCTCTTCCCCTTTTCTCCCCTTTTTTCTCCCAACCTACTGCTTGTACACAACCCCTCCCTTTGCTCTCACTCTCATGCATTTCCTCTCTTCCTCCTGTAATTTTGAAAACCCTCTGACTCCGTTTTTTACTTTTCACTCTATCACCTTTCCCCCCTCGCTCATCCTCTCCTGCAAGACACAGGGGGAGGGGGGAGGGGGGGCTGTTCACTTAACATTCAACCAACGTTCAAGTCAACATGCCACCTTGGAGCAGACAGGGTGAGCACGTGCATGTTAGTGGGGCAGCATTGTGAGCGTTTTTATGAACTGAGGACGAGTTGTGCGAGAGACCTGCAGTACCTTCAGCATCCTTAGACATGTACAGGGAAAGCTTGGTACCATAGGGGATCCGTATAGAATCTGAACCAGGGATGAAGAAGAGGGTTACACAAACTGAAAACACACAGTACAAACATTTAGGCACACGTTAGGTTCTCTTTCATGTGTGTGAGTCCTCGTGATGCAGAATTATATGTATGCAGGTTGTATGTATATGTAACAGCTAAAGCAGGAAAGAAAATGAGAACCTCTTCAAGAGAAGATTACCTGGGCCATCCTAAAGCCATCCTAGCACCAAGCCCGTCCTTGGCTGATTGCAGCAGTGACAGCCAGACCCTCCTCCCTGTTAGCCTTAATGACGTGTAAATACCCGCTCGCCTCAGGCAAAGACTGGTGCAGAAGCGGCTACACCACCAAGACATTTTAATCAATGTTCTCCTCAAGACTTGTCCTTCACTGCAGCCATAAGAATTACATGGATGCATCTGAGGATAACTTTGTGTCCTTTCTAATAGCCAGAAAGTCCAATGACTACGTCATCCATCAGTCTCTTGGTTCGCACTGAATGACAAACCTGTATGCCATTAATAACATTACCAGCTGTGCATCACAAATATTCAGACTGGGTTATAAATCTGGAAGAGGTCAGCCATGTGGGGAGGAGAGATTCAGAATTGTCAAATACAACAAATACAATAAAAGACGGAGGAGGGAGTGAAAGTGGGCTGGTGGTTGGGTGGGGGTGTTTTAATCCTCAGTCACCCTTGAAAGCACTCTCTGGCTCTGAGGACACTTATTGTGTCCCCTGAACGGTGGTGTTGGAAGGTATGTGGGCGATTAGTCTGTTCCGCTTTTTGTAATTTACAGATTGTGAGAAATTTAAAAAATGCCTTGGTCTGTTTTAGCCCTTTTAACTACAAATCGGACTTAAATGCAATATCTTTACTTTCAGACTTACTTCATACTTTTGTTGCAACCACAGGTCTCCATTCATTTAATGATGACTGTGATAAAACTGTTGTGTTCAAGGAGGTTCTCAAATCTGAGAGTTGGTTGCCTGACAGCAATACTTAGAGGATAAGTCTGGTGATATCCTCTATTTTCTAGGTGTCAATAAATCTTATGAAAAAAGTAATAATGAAATGATTTTACTAACAAGTATTGTCTGTATATCCTAAGTCTGACAGAGCTTATTTTTCTGTGCCATAGATCTCCATTGTTGTCCAAAAACTATTAAAAATACATCTGTGGGCCAGATTGTTGCACTGGGTGACATCCATTAGAATGAACTGTTGTTTATATGAAGGTAGTTCCACATCCATTGTCCTGCTGCAGTAATTACTCACCAGAAAACAAATGTGTAGTAATCCACAGCTGAAAACAGCCCCCTGAAAATGCTGTATAATCCTGTTTAAGTAACATTTGCTCTGAACTAATGCACAACTGTTTTTGGGAACTTAGAGCCATTTTAAAAATTAAACTGTGTATTTATGTCTTCAGCAGAGACAAATGGGCTTGGGGCTGAGTTGGGAAGTGAGTAAGAAAGCACAGTACTGAAAGACAGATGATATTGGGATTGATGTTGTGAATGCTATCATAAGTGGGATTTCCTGACATTAAGAATAATATAGAATATCACCAGACCAAACATAATATAATGTGTTTTAGTTTTCTAGAGCAACCAACTACTGAATATCAGATGGTTCTTAAACACACCAGCAGGCTTCATTTTCAAAGTGATCCAGGCTTGTAATGAAATGCAACTGACAACAAAACAAAACAAAGGTTCACTCAAACATATTATCTTGTTTCCTTTTGGGGGGGGGGGCTTATCCAATTTGACAGTCTAAGGACAGAGGGTGTTGTATGCTTTAACCTTTTAAGCAAATTTATGGAAACGAATCTGATCTTGAGCATTCAAGATCAAGATCTCTCTAAGGACAGAGGGTGTTGTATGCTTTAACCTTTTAAGCAAATTTATGTAAACGAATCTGATCTTGAGCATTCAAACAGGTCTGCAGGCAATGCTGACCTGCTGTATGTACACTTTTAATATCAAAACACTAATATCCACATCCTCTGGAATGTTTGTGCAGGGCTTACCGTCACCAAGCGGGGAAGGAAACATGGGCATCTCGTAGCCGGTGGGCGTCTGCGGAGAACTCTGTGAACTGGTGTCTCTTGAACTACAGTTGGAGGCTGAGCTCATCGGAGCCGACGAAACAAAATAGATGTCTGACTGTGGGTGGAAAAACAGGAGGACAGAGAGGGAATGAGATCAATACACAGATACAGCAGATGTGACAATGCAAGGAAATACTAAAAGGGGCAGAAAGGATGGAGGCGGAAGATGCTGAGAATAGAGGAAAAGTATTTATTTGATGCCATGTGCACTGCTTTAAATGATCTATGTGTATGAAACACTAGTGTATCATTGCTTTGCAGCCATGCAGAGTGCCAGCCATATTTCCCACTGGGGTAATAAAGATTGATTGAAATGAGAGAGAGCTGAGACAGCTACTTCTATAACACAGAGTGGGGCCTGAAACACTTACAAGCTTGAAGGGCTCTTGCTATAGTGAAACCACACACATAATGCATTTCTACCACCTGATTACTTTAGACCAGACAGAACAAGAAAATTTAAATGAAGTAAACAAAGACAATTTTGTAATAAATGTTGAGAAAAGAAGGACAATGACAAGGTATTTTGTTTACTGTCAATCACACCGACCCTTGAAGCAGCCAACTGTAGCTCTGGGACAACTGCTGTGTACACAAGGTTGCCGTTGACCACAAGTCGGATCTCAATTGAATCCGTTGTGAATGCCAGGATGTAAGGAAATGCACAAACTGCAATGACAACACAAGCATAAGATAAAACAAGCTGCAAATGATGGGCAAGGGGCATCAGGGAGACACCACAGTGAGGGTTCTGGAAAAAAAATGTTTTAGAATACCAGACATTTTATAGTTTCACCCGGAATGGAACGCTATCAATAGCTTGTATATCCAGAAAGTGAGCTTTTCCGCCAGGGGCTCTGGATAGTCCTCCTCTCCTCTGATTTAAAATGTGCAACAGTGTGAAAGTGAATAGCATGGAAGACTGTTTTTGTAAGTGTGACAAGTGCAACTTCATTGGAGAAACAAACAGGAGAATATCTTCTCGATTAGTGAAACCTCATTTCATTATGTGCCTTCATTAAACATGATGTAATGATAAGCTTGAGGTGGGGGAGCTAACAATAAAGCTGGTTTGAGTAAGTTACTCTTTGACAGCATTGACTTAAAAAAAATAATAATTTATGTAAACATAGTAGCTACATTATGATGTCATCAATATGCTAATTAGCATGCCATCTATTGCGTTTCCAGCAGGCGGCCACTTTCTGTTGAATAGAGTTGGCAACACTGGTCCGGTGACAATTTTCTGTGGGTCTCACTATGATCAACACCTTTCACATTACACATAATTATTTGGTCAATTGTTAATATATAATATTGATTAGAGTAGCTTTAACAGTTGCTTTCGAAATGAGGGTCACCAATGTGTTGCAGTACATTTGTCTTATTAGTCAGCAGATCTCCTCATTGCTGATTTTAGTGTGTGTGTGTCCCTGACTGTGTGAAAGGAGGGTACATTATAGGATGCACAGCGGCCTAGAGCAGCAGCCTGTTGGCATCAACAGAGTTAGAGTTACAGGTTTAGTACTGATTTTCTTTTCATCACCTTTGGCATTAATAATAACACAAAACACACAAATAGGCCAATTAGATGCTAGTGGCTACACGTGGTGTTTCCATAGCGACAGAAAGCCCTGGGCAGGCCAGCAGCATGAAAAGGGTGCGGCCCAAGCATTGTTGCCGTGGTCACGTACCAATAGCATTGGGCATCTGGTTCCAGCTGAAGTGGAAGTCGGAGGTGTTGGACTGGATCATCGGCGTGGAGCCGTTAAATGGACAAACTTTCTTATAATAACAAATATCTGTAGAAGAAACAGAGGAAAAAGATTCAAATTAAAAGCTTCAGTTTGTTCTCTTTACTGTTGTTTTTTCATCTATGCTTTGAAAATGTGTTAAGTGCAGCATTTTAATGGACCTCAAAGAGATTTGAGAGCTATCTGTCCTATTATCCAGACATAAAAATGCAGGCAAAAGCCAAAAATCTATGCACAAATTCAAAATCAATTTCTTGTTCTCAATATTCTGGAGCTGTCTGTGCTATGATTTTTATTCCAGTGGCAGAGAAAAAAAACATCAAGGCTCAGCTTTGATATTAGAGACCTGAATCAAAGAACCTTTGAAATGCTACGTACTGAGTTAAAGAACACTCACAGTTGTAACACAACAGCAGACCTGCTTCCCCGTCTTCATAAACGTCAATGGCTGCTACAAAATTTACCTGTGGGCAGAGCCAAGACAGTTTTGTAGAATAATTTCAATATGATCAAAAGGGTAGATAGGAGAGATGGTTTATTAGAACAGCTGTTCATCCCCCAGCCTACTCATTCATCCCCCCCCCCTTCCTCCCCAGCTGGTGGCTGTGAATGACAACGTGTTGATTCACTCAAGCAGCCTGATAATAAATAAAGTAAATAAAGTGACTAATTGGGTCAATTGAAAGTCTCGGTTCTGCTCTACTTCACTAAACATCAAGTGAAAGGAAATGAAAAATTTGAACAAACAGAAAGCCACCATTGTGTGTGTGTGTATGTGTGTGTATGTGCTTGGACGTGTGCCTCACCCTGTTGGCGTCTACATGATGTAGCCGGTAGGCATCTCCAGTGCTCTCATTGATCAGGTCAAACTGATGTTTGTAGGCCACACAAATCATATTGTCATTTTCCCCTGTAGGCCCGTCCACCAACGCCATCACCACAGGCGGGTCACACAGACAGATCTCCTAATGGGTGGATGGCACAAGAGAACATCAGTGCTCACATACAAGGAATGAAACTAAAACAAAGTGCATCAAGCTGTTGTGTGCAGATTTGACTGGGTTATGACTTAAATGAGGAGGAGTACAATGTTTGATGTCAACTGGGGCGATTAAGGTAGTTTAAAGCCACCGTAAGTGCTTCTATAAGTTGTGTGGCACAGCCTGTGCTGCAAGTCTAACTGCCGACCCTGATAGTGGCCTCACATTTTAAAACCCCTGCTTTAGGATATACTGTACATATGTATAGAAAGAAACTATGAAAAAGCACTTTTAAAGGGGAGAAGTTTTAACATCCATTTATTCAGCCCCTCCTTGAACCGCCACCTTATTGTGGTGGAGGGGTTTGAGTACCCGAGTGAACTTAGGAGCTATGTTGTCAGGGGCTATATGTCCCAAGGCAAACAGGTCCTGGGTGACGGGTCAGACTAAGAGTGGTTCAAAAGCCCTTTATGAATAGATTAAAATCAAGGACCGTGATGTCGCCCGGCATGGCGCAGCCGGGGCCCCACCCTGGAGCCAGGCCCGGGGTTGGGGCTCGAATGCGAGCGCCTGGTGGCCGGGCCTCCCCTCACGAGGCCCGGCCGGGCTTAGCCCGAACGAGCAATGTGGGGAC